CTGTGTCCCTCAGTAACAATTCTGTGTCCCTCCCTGAGTAACAATTCTGTGTCTGTCCCTGAGTAACAATTCTGTGTCCCCTGAGTAACAATTCTGTGTCCCTGAGTAACAATTCTGTGTCCCTCAGTAACAATTCTGTGTCTGTCCCTCAGTAACAATTCTGTGTCCCTCAGTAACAATTCTGTGTCTGTCCCTGAGTAACAATTCTGTGTCCCTGAGTAACAATTCTGTGTCCCTGAGTAACAATTCTGTGTCCCTGAGTAACAATTCTGTGTGTCCCTGAGTAACAATTCTGTGTCCCTGAGTAACAATTCTGTGTCCCTCAGTAACAATTCTGTGTCCCTCAGTAACAATTCTGTGTCTGTCCCTGAGTAACAATTCTGTGTCTGTCCCTGAGTAACAATTCTGTGTCTGTCCCTGAGTAACAATTCTGTGTCCCCTGAGTAACAATTCTGTGTCCCTCAGTAACAATTCTGTGTCTGTCCTCAGTAACAATTCTGTGTCTGTCCCCCTGAGTAACAATTCTGTGTCTGTCCCTGAGTAACAATTCTGTGTCCCTCAGTAACAATTCTGTGTCCCCTCAGTAACAATTCTGTGTCCCCCAGTAACAATTCTGTGTCCCTCAGTAACAATTTGTCCCTCAGTAACAATTCTGTGTCTGTCCCTGAGTAACAATTCTGTGTCTGTCCCTGAGTAACAATTCTGTGTCTGTCCCTGAGTAACAATTCTGTGTCCCTCAGTAACAATTCTGTGGCCCTAAGTAACGTTTCTGTGGCCCTAAGTAACACGTTTCTGTGGCCCTAAGTAACGATTCTGTGGCCCTAAGTAACGTTTCTGTGGCCCTAAGTAACGTTCTGTGTCCCTAAGTAACGAGTTTCTGTGGCCCTAAGTAACGTTTCTGTGGCCCTAAGTAACGTTTCTGTGGCCCTAAGTAACGTTTCTGTGGCCCTAAGTAACGTTTCTGTGGCCCTAAGTAACGTTTCTGTGGCCCTAAGTAACGATTCTGTGGCCCTAAGTAACGTTTCTGTGGCCCTAAGTAACGTTTCTGTGTCCCTAAGTAACGTTTCTGTGTCCCTAAGTAACGTTTCTGTGGCCCTAAGTAACGTTTCTCTGGCCTAAGTAACGTTTCTGTGTCCCTAAGTAACGTTTCTCTGGCCCTAAGTAACGTTTCTCTGGCCCTAAGTAACGTTTCTGTGTCCCTAACTCTCTCCCTCAATACAGACAGCTCTGCCTCTCTTGAATGACTGGAGGCAAATGGAGAATTCTAAAATGGCCGCCATTTATAGCTCGACCATTACACAGTGCTGGCTGGCTGGCTGCTGATTGGCTAATGCGATCACATGTCATGAATGAATGCATTATGGGTCAGCGCGCCTTGTCTGCGCGCCTTCCCAGACATCCCCACTCCGTCGCCGCACATGTCGCCGCCATTTTAGGAAAAATTTCGATTCGCGCATCCGAAGTCTGCTAATTTTTTGGATTCGTCGCGAATCGAAATTTTCCTAATATTCGAAACGAATTCCACTTCGCCGAGTTCGATTCGCTCATCTCTAGTAATTACCATTTTTTTTTTTTCTTCACTATACAGTAGTTCAGAAATCCATCTGTCACTTTCCCCCTTCAGCTGAAAGAAAGTTTATTTTAGTTTATTTCCCCAAGTTAAAACATATAATGTTTCCTTTCAGTTTCTTAAAAGATACAAAGTATCCTTTAGCTTCCTGGCAACTGACAGCAAATGTTGTGAGCTATAATGAAGAAAAAAAAAAGCCCGGCAATTGCATTTAAAAATCAGCACTGACGTACACTTCGTATGAAAAAAATTAGTAAAAAATTATTTTCAGTGAACTCATCAATGCAGAGCTATTTTTGCTGGGGAGTATAGACATCTGCAAATTTTTTGTTAAAGTTATGTGCGAGGGCTGAATTTTGTGGAGCCGGTCAAATTCATGGTCACCCCGAGGACGAGAGTGTATTGTCTTTGAAATGCATAAAATACACTATACTCTCATATCTATTCCTGACCATGGCATCAGAGAACACGGACATATGATGAATGGGGTCTGTGGACCAATACAACCGCAATTCATTTCTTTTAGTAATGCCCATGTTGAGGGTTAGGCCCAAAACAAATTTTAATTCGGAAACCGTAATGAGTTTCCATGCGAATCGTCTGGCAAGGTTTGATATTGGGTTGGCGGCGATAAACTGTTGTGCATATAAAATTGCTTTGATCCACAATCAATGCATACAGATATTCCGTGAATAACAGCTCCAAAAAATCAAGGGGAGTAGTTAAATTTGCTATTTCCACCTGAATTCCGGGTTGTGATAGTGAATGGGGGAAGTACAGGTGCTGCAGAATTTGTGAGCTGCCAATCGGGATATGCAATCACATCCGGAAGGATACTAGGGGCTCTATGGGCCTGCGTGTGTGACTCCTTGGTGGTTGCGGGACAATACTTGTGCTCGCCAACGCACCAGCTTGTACTGCACTTATGGGACTCACCACGTCACCAAGTCATACTGCAGTGCTGGTATTATTATTATACAGGATTTATATAGCACCAACAGTTTTCTCAATGCTACAATATAATGGGAGATAATACAGAACAATACAGTTCAATACAAGAGGGTTAGAAGGGCCCTGACCCTTGGAGCTTACAATCTAAGAGGTATGTGAAAGACCAGGATGTACTAGGTCATTGGTGCTCGCTAGTTCACCAAAAGATAGCGTGGCACTATTACTGGCACTCTGCTGCATATGAGAGTCATCAAAATTTACCAGGCAAGTGCTAACAGAGATCAGGCCTGATTCTGCAAACACTGCGGTTTTGTGTGCAGTGTATCAAGTGACAGTGACCTACTGACACTGCACTTGCTGGGGGAGAAGGGGAGGTAAGCGTAGGGGCTAAACACAGGTGCTGGCAGGTGCCAGGGTTGATCCCGCTAATGCTGCGTTTTGGGGGATGCTATACTAATGTGAATGCTGGTATAGTGCTGATCTGATCAAAGGTATTGATCCGTTCATACACTATACTAGCAATGGAGGAAGTAGCAGAGGGGGTTGTTAATCAGTATCAGCTGCTTTGGTGTTAATTTCTAGATGGGCAATAATGAGACAACCCCCAAAACAGGAATGGTTTTACTGGTGGAGACCACTGACAGGTTTTTCCCTACTCATCTTTTCTGTTTTTCACTAGTTTTGCATTTGGCTAGGGTCAGTGTCACTACTGGCAGCATGAGGCGATACTTGGACCCTACAGAGGTTGCACAGACAGTCCAACTCTTCCAGGATAGCACATCAATATGTGCCATTGCCAGAAGGTTTGCTGTGTCTCCCAGAGTCCCAGCACAGTCTCAACAGTATGGAGGAGATTCCAGGAAACAGGCAGTTACTCTAGGAGACCTGGACAGGGCTGTAGAAGGTCCTTAACCCATCAGCAGGACCGGTATCTGCTCCTTTGTGCATGAAGGGACAGGATGAACACTGTCAGAGCCCTACAAAATGACCTCCAGCAGGCCACTGGTGTGAATGTCTCTGACCAAACAATCAGAAACAGACTTCATGAGGGTGGCCTGAGGGCTGGATGTCCTCTAGTGAGCCCTGTGATCACTGCCCCGCACCATAGAGCTTGATTGGCATTTGCCATTGAACACCAGAATTGGCAGGTCCACCACTGGCGCCCTGTGCTTTTCACAGATGAGAGCAGGTTCACCCTGAGCACATGTGACAGACGTGAAAGGATCTGGAGAAGCCATGGAGAACGTTTTGCTGCCTGCAGCATGGTTTAGCATGACTGTTTTGGTGGTGGGTCAGTGATGGTCTGGGGAGTCATATCCATGGAGGGGCGCACAGACCTCTACAGGCTAGGCAATGGCACCCTGACTACCATTAGGTATCGGGATGAAATCCTTGGACCCATTGTCAGACCCTACGCTGGTGCAATGGGTCCTGGGTTTCTCCTGGTGCATGACAATGCCTGGCCTCATATAGTGAGAGTATGCAGGCAGTTACTGGAGGATGAAGGAATTGATACCATTGAATGGCCCCCAGGCTCGCCCTGACCTAAATCCAATAGAGCACCTCTGGGATATCATGTTTCGGTCCATCCGACGAAGCCAGGTTGCACCTCAGACTGTCCAGGAGCTCAGTGATGCCCTGGTCCAGATCTAGGAGGAAATACCCCAGGACACCATCCGTCATCTCATTAGGAGCATGCCCAATGTTGTAGTCAGGCATGCATACAAGCATGTGGGGGTCATACAAACTATGAGGACTATTCTGAGTTGCTGAAATAAAATTTCAGCAAAATGGACTAGCCTGCTGCATCATTTATTCACTTTGATTTTCGGGGTGTCTTTGAATTCAGTCCTCTGTAGGTTGATCATTTCCATCAAACGATGGGGCATCCTTACCTTCCTAACACATTACCCCGTCCAGATCAGTATATAGAGATCCAGACTGATATTGTTCCCCATTGAGATCTGATGTGTGTTCATAGGGTTCATAGTGATCCTCTCATTGATATGAGCCATGTGTATTTCCATCCACAGCCAGTGCTGAGCACAGATATAGGCAGCATCTCCATCATTTCATGCCTAGCACGTGCTTGTCGGCTTTCAGCCAATAACAACAGCACCGTACAACTAGGACACACCTCCCTGTCACTCTGGAGCCAATTAGCGGACAGGGCACGCCCCTCCCGATCTCCGCACTGTTCGGGCTGTAGAACACGCCCCAGGTCCTCAGCCCTGATTTAGCTGTCAGCATTAGGATACGCCCTTCCCCTTGTAGTTGGGACACACGCATCCTCCCACTACAAGGGCAGGACACGCCCCCGCTAACACACCGCCCCTACTGAGCTCTGCTGCTCTTTGCACCAATGCCCGCGGCGCTAAGTCATCTGTCAGTTAGGACACGCCCTTCCCCTGTTGATGGAATACACTGTAGTTGGACACGCCTCCTTTATCAGGAAACCGAAAGTAGAGCAGACGGGGCGGGGAGGGGGCGTGTCCCTGGCGGTTCAGCAGATGGCGGTAGGTGTCTGGTTTGTTTATGGTGATGGTGGCCGGGCGGGGGGTCCGCACTGTGTACATGGGGACGGACAGACATCAGCCGCACATACAGACATGCGCATGTCCTCCAGTGTACATGATATGGGGGGCATTTCCCTGCCCATCATCTGCTCCCTGTGTGGCCCTGGGGTGAGATTCTGGGAGAGGTGGAATGGAAGGCGGGAAGAATGGCAGACAGGCAGGCGATCATCTGCCCAGAGGAAGATGACTGATCACGAGATGATGGCGGGGGGACCGGGGGGAGACATTTACAATACAACCAAGGGGCAAGATATATTATTGTATAGTGGAAGGGGAGGCGCTTTGGTTTTGCTATCTGTGTCCTCACTGGGGAGATTTCCCTTCACTTCCTGTACTGGAACCACAACAGGAAGTGAGAGGAAACCCCTGCAAAGTGGGGGAACCCCTGCAAAGCGAGGAAACCCCTGCAAAGCAGGGGAACCCCTGGTTGTCACCAGAGCTAGTGTCCCCATTGGAAGTTTTCCCTCTATCCCCCTGTTCTAGGGACAGCTCGAAATTAGAGTTTTCTTTTACTTTCAATGATAATGATACACAGGGCAGATAGAGAGGGGTCATCTTCCTGGGAGGGGGGGTGCAAACAGTAATAAAACTTTACAGGGGGCGGGGCTAATCCCTCTCCGCTCTAGAACTAAAAATTAAGTTTGGTCTTTGGTTCTACTTTAACCCCTTGTCTACCGGGCACTTCTACCCCCTTCCTTACCAGGACAATTTTCATCTTTCAGCGCTGTCACACTTTGAATGACAATTGCGCGGTCATGCAACATTGCACCCATTTGACATTTTTATATTTTTTTCACACAAATAGAGCTTTTTTTTGTGGTATTTACTCACGACTGGGTGTTTTATTTTTTGCGCTATAAACAAAAATAGCGCAAAACATTTGAGAAGAAAAAAGTTTCTTTGTTTCTAGTATAAAATTTTGCAAACAGGTAATTTTTTTCCTTCACTGATGTGCGTTGATGAGGTTGCACTGATAGGCGGCACAGATAGGCGGCACTGATTTGCAACAATGAAGGGCACTGATAGGCGACACTGATGGGTGGTATAGCTGGGCGCTGATGGACACTGCTGGGTGGCACTGCTGGGCACTGATCATCAGTCTCCTGATGATCAGTGCTGATCCCTCCTCTGACAATTGCCGGTTATCGGCAGTACTTTCCTCACGTTGTGGCAGCATGAGGAAAGTGTAGCCGATAACCGGCATATGTATTTCCCGGTGATCAGTGTGTCATTGGACACAGCTTTGTCATGCGGTAAAAGGCCGCTGTGATTGGCCTTTTATCACATCACGTAGGACACAACGATCATGGAGATCGCCGGGGGCACGTGGGAGGGCGCGTTCTGGGAGGGCATCATATGACGCCCTCCCAGAACTGGACGGCCACAGTGAAGCCATCATTCGGCAAGTGGTTAAAGTTGAGTAGCACCAATGAGAACAGTTCCATTACATGTGATTTGAACGGTCAAGTAGCATCAGTGTGAACCAGGACTTATAGTGGGTTCTCCTCTGCACTGCAAGACTTAAAGGATAAGTTCACCTTTTACACAAAAATAATAAATGTACTTTTTTTGCAGGTAAAAAAATGTGCATTTATTATTTTTGCTTACAGGAGCCTGGAAAGCATTGCACCAGAGATCAGTAGATGACTGATGCCATGCAGGTCTCCTGCAGACCTGTCAGAATATCTGCTTGCTGTACGGGATGTATGGGGTGTGCGGAATGTATGGGGTGTACGGGATGTATGTCTAAGCAGATATACTGACAGGAAAGTTCCACAGCACCGTGGTAGTTCATTAATCACAACAACAAGCCTACAGCCACTAAGGCTGCCGGGACTTGCAGTTCATTCACCGCCACACCAGTCCCAGTGTCCCTGATCACGCCACACCAGTCCCAGTGTCCCTGATCACCACCACACCAGTCCCAATGGCCCTGACCACCACCACACCCTTACTAGTGGCCTTGATCACTGCCACATCAGTCATATTGTTCCTAATCAGTGCCACAACAGCTACAGTGTCCCTGATCACCAACACACCAGTTGAAGTGTCACCACACCAGTGTAAGCCAGCAGCGGTGTCCCTGATTGTTGCCACACAAATCCTAGTGTTACCACACCAGTGTAGCTAGCAACAGTGTTCCTGATCACCGCTACACAAGTCCCACTGTTACCACACCAGTGCAGCCAGCAACAGTGTTCCTGATCACTGCCACACCAGACAGTGTTGCCTCTGCCTGCTGCCTTTACCAACCTGGCCACTTTATTGATCATGTTTCTGTCTGCTGCCAGGACCGATCATTTGCCTGTTTGCTGACCATGTCTCTGCCTGTGGCCTAAATTGACCCATCTGCACATCTAGCTGACTACGTGACACCAGTCCCAGCCATCCCCTGAAGATAACTACATTCATGGAACCACAGGAACTCTTTTATTCTTTTTTAGCCTCCTGTTCTTCCTGGCCAATGAACATAGCATAATACCTGGTGGCAGCCACGTCCCAGTAGGCTAAGCATGCTTGGCTTATAGGAACTGTGACTGCTATAGGTGACGCTACACTACACCATATTCATTGATCGCTCGTACAAAGGCAATCGTTAAGGTACATTGGTTTTGACACAATTGGTTGATTTTTCTGATACACAAGATACAATGTCTGGTACATAATCAGTCCAGACAGTGAAAAAGTCTCACATTGTATCGCAATACTTGGGAAGATGCAAAATGGGTTTTGGGTTGTAATTCTAAGTATGCCCCTGCTGTGTGTGAGAAATCTTGTATTAAATTGACACATTTTTGTAAAAAAAATGTTTTCATTTTCATTCCGCAAACTTGTGGCAAAAAAGGAAGCCTTCAAAAGTCTCACCTCCTAAAAAATATCTTGGGGTGTTTACTCTCCGAAATGTAGTCATTTTAAGGGTGTTTCTACTGCCTTGTTGCTCCAAGGCCTCCAAAAATATGTTAATTAGTCAGGAAATTAGATGAAACATATGCCTCTAAAAAGCCTTGAAGGTGAACTTCGGATTTTGGGCCTCTGTTTGGCTAGGCTGTGAAAAATTCTCACACTTGTGGTATCGCCATACTCAGAAGGAGTAGCAGAATATGTTTTGGGATGTATTTATAAGTATGCCTATGCTGTGTTTGTGAAAAACTATTTTTTTTTTGTTTAATTTCTTCATTTTTAAAAAATTTGTAAAAAAAATGACAACTTCAAAAAACTCACATAGCATCTTATTAAATACCTTGTTCTGTCTGCTTTCCAAAAAAGGGTCATTTTGGGGGGTATTTGTACTGTTGTGGCATTTTAGGGCCTCAAGAAATGAGATAGGCAGTCATTACATCAGTATTGATCAATTTTCAAATATATATACCATAGTTTGTAGACTCTATAACCGGAGTCTCTAAACTTTTAAGCAAAGGGTCAGTTGACTGTCATTCAGGCTTTAGGGGGGCCAGACTGTGGCTAGTGGGATTAGAAAACGCCTTGGCATCAGTGGGAGTAAACAATACCCTATCATTGGTTTTAGTGGGAAAAATAGTACCTCATTGTTGGTATGAGTGGGAGGAATGGTGCCCCATTGTTTGTATTTAAGGGAGGAATAATGCCCCATCATTGGTGTCTCTGGGAGAAATGGTGCCCTAGCAATGGTGTCAGTGGATGGAATGGTGCCTCAAGGGCTGGATAAAGGGAAGCAAAAGGCCACATCAGGCCTGCGGGCTGCAGTTTGGAGACCACTGATCTATGACTTTCACACAGACTAAATATACACTGATTTGAGTTATTTTTACCAAAAAAATGTAGCTGAATACATTTTGGCATAAATTTATGTAGAAAGATTATTTATTTGCAAAATTTTATAAAAGAAACTGAATTTTTTTAATTTTCTGTCTTTTTTTGTTTATATACCAAAAAATGAAAATTTCTGTACGTTTCACAGAAAGAAAGCTCAATCTGCCTCAAAAATTGCTAAACATTTAATTTGGGTACAGTGTTGCATGACTGAGTAATTGTTATTCAAAGTGTGGCAGTGCTGTAATCTGAAAAATGGCCTGGGCAGGAAGGGGTGAAAGTATCTGGTCTTGTAGTGGGTAAATTATTTTTTATTCACTTGCATAAACTTCTAGAAACCTTGACTAGTCAATTCCATAGCATAGCCTCCTCCCTCCTTGCACCTCATAGCTCTCTCCTTTTTTTGGGTGTGTCTAAATACTATCTGTGCTGGCCCAGCTCTTCTGCTCCACCCCTCACCACTCTACATAACCCTTTTTGTAGCTGCCAGGGGAGGAGTGAAGGGGAATGCTACAGAATACAGTGTGTAAACATTGCTTGATGAGAGCAAGAGCTAGCCGTGCCATCCCTTTCACTTCCAGGGTTATCCCAGCAGTGAAGAGCCAAACGTATGCACTCCTCCACTTACTGCCCTTTTACTTTTCACTGATCACCAACACACATCTCCACCCTCCTTCACTGTACTGACACGCCTGTCCACTGACCACCAACGTAGCCACACACTCGTCTTCTGCGCCAACACGTACTTGTCCACTGGCCACCACTAACATAACAGCGCATTTTAAACTACAAACTGCTACACACTAGAGGAGATTTACTAAAACTGGAGCACTCCGAGTCTGGTGCAGCTGTACATGGCAGCCAATCAGCTTTTAACTTTAGCTTGTTCAGTTAAGCTTTGGCAATAAAACCTGGAAGCTGATTGGTTTCTATGCAGATTTGCACCAGATTTTGCACTCTCTAGATTTAGTAAATAAACCCCTATGTATGCTGTATATTCCATTCCCCGGGTCTCTTTAATTTTTTTTTTTAATTGTAGGAATTCACTGTTGCATCCAGTTCAACAAACGGGCACGTTTTGCAGACTTTTTTTTAACTATATGACCAATCATAACTGTTACAGGAACATCCATATGAATAAGCACTAAATA